AGTTCTTTGGCCCAGAAGTCTGAGACCCACTAGGGTCCAAAACACTTCAAAGCATTGACCAATGTCCCCTAAACCTAGAGAGTCATCTTCATCCTGAATTTTCAGGCAAGAAAGGACAACACACTGTCTAAGCCAACAAGGAGGAAGGCAGGAGGGCACTGCCATGAAGGCTGGGAGGCTCCCACAGACCCAACAGCTCCCCACATAGAGCCCTCACTGGGTCCCTCAGACCCTCAGGGCCTGCATCAAAGTGGTCAGGTGTGGCACTGGCCCAAGCTTTGAGATAGTTTTCCTGGACATGACCAGTTGGGGGAAAGGCTGGGCACACGCTGGGGTCACCCTGGTTGACCTCCCTCCTGGTCTGGTCTGGGCTGTGACCAAGAGGGGAATCCCAGAAGGACCTGGCTTTTCCCACTTATGGGCCCCTGTCCCCAGGAAGCCTGCCAAGATGAGGACAGAGTTGAGGCAAGGAGTCTTATCCCAGAGGAAGGGAATGCACATTTCAGGTCAGGGATGGGGTGCATAGTGAGGGGCACTAGGAGGGCAAGAAGTGAGGACAGCAGAGGCTGCAGAGGTACAGAGAAAGGGGATCCTGGGTGTGAGAGTGGCAGGAAGAGACTTTTCATCTGGGTTGCCACCTTTCTTCAGTACATTTTCTCAATAAAGCAGTGGCATTCCAGCCACATGAGCTCATGCTTAGGGCTTTGGGGGGCCCTTGGCCGAGGCAGGGGGCTGTCTGCTCCTCACCTGCAGAGGAAGGGCCCCACTCCAAGACTGTGAGCCCCTTGGCCTGCAGCCCAGTCCAGTGCATTGTGGGATAAAAAGAAAGGGCCAGCGAGGGTGGGGTCCAGCATTCCGAAGACAGAGCAGCTCTCCAGGAGACTCCTGGACCAGTTCCAACTCTGGGCCCCCAGCCAGGCTGCGTGGACAAGGGAGGCAGATGGGGTCTTTCCACAGGATGGAAGAGTCAAAGAGGGTAGGGAAGGAGAGATTGGCAGGCGGGCCTCGGCCCCCTCCTTACATCTGGCAAAGAAAGCCAGTGTTTTTCTCTTGGCCTGGGATGGGTGTCTGTGTTTATTTCATGAGATCAGTAAACTAGGTGTGGGGCAGGCCTACTGGAGGTCAAGGAAAACTTCAGGGTGGGGGCAGTTGGTCAGAATTGGAGGTGGAGGAATAAAGTCTGAATTCTACAGGCAGTGGGGAGAAGCAAGTTACAGAAACAAGAGGTTGTGAGGAGGCCAGAGCCACCACTACCTGATGCTTATCCCCCACTTCTCCCCTCCCCACTGCATTGTTTTCAGGACCCCACTGTCCTCCCTGCCTAGAGGAACCCTGGGCATAAAAGAGGAGGAAGGCCCCACTAACTTTGGGCAAGGCAGGGCTCTTTTCTGGGACCCCTTGTCTCTCTAGGGAGGAAGTGGTGTGCACCTAGCAGGTTATGTCAAGAGGCTATTGTCAGAACAACAAACATCCTGAATTTGGGAACATCTTTGTCTGCATGTTCTCACCTCCACGCCCATCCATGCCCACCAGGGCAAGTAGGGAGCCTGCTGCCCCCTGCCCCACCAGCTGGCCCCATATCCCACTTGCTCCTTGGCAGGCAGAAGGCCAGGCTGCCTGCTGTCTCAGTTCTACACTCCTTGCCTAGGTCTTGAAGCCAGACACGGGGCTGGTGACCCTGGAGGCTGAAGGCCAGGAGCTCCTGCTGGAGCTGGAAAAGAACCAGTGAGTACCAGGCTGGGGAGGGGGCTTGGAGCCAAGACAAACCCTCTTTCTGGGGGGTAGGGGGTGGGCAGTGCTAGGGACAGGAACTGGCAGAAACCCAGGAGGGGGTGAGGCCCCCAAGGAGGTGCAGGTGACAGGGAGAGTTACACCAGCCTATATGACTGGCTCCCTTGAGGCTGAAGTGGCCTGTTGGGACTGGGTCAGCCCTGCTGTGGGGCACATCCCTCATCCAGGCCCTAGGAGCATATTGTCGGCTCCCTGCTGGAAATGAGTGAGCATCACCTACTGGATGCTTAAGAGTATGCTGAGTCAAAAGGGAATCCAAGATGGATTCCAAATATTGGTGGGCACTTCGGGCTGATAGAATGACAGGGACAAAGGTGCAGTGGCTACAAAGGACAAGGCACATTGAGGATGGCAATTTGTCTGGCCTGCCTGGAAGATCTCCATCTGCAGGGAAGGGAACAGTGGGAAATGAATATGAGCCCCAGTGGGGCCAGATCACAGAAGGTCAGTTTAGTGCTGAGTGTCCCGGATAGTTCAGAGCCAAAGATTTTGAGTTGGTGAGTGAGCAGGCAGAGCTGAGCAGGATGAGGTGGGCTTCCAAGATGGAGGGTGGGGTCTTAAAACCATTCAGACTATATTATCAACAGTTATTTATTTATCAAGTGCTTGTTTCATTGCAGGCACTGCTCTAAGCACTCTACACATGTTTTATTCTCCCTCATGGAGTCAGGTGGACTGGGAACAAACTCTAGTTCCACCATGCCTCACCACAGTTTCTCTGGGGTTTCATGTCCCGACGCATTTGGGGTGATCACATCATCTACCTCCTAGGGTTGTGTGTGTGCGCGTGGAGTGGGGAGCAAAGCTGGAAAAGGTGGAGGAAAAGACTGGGAGGTGGAGAAGCAGGCATCACAGGTCTGTTTGTGGGACAGTCTGGGGGTAGAGGTCAAGGCAAGGTGAAAGTCAAGGATTTTCTTTAACAAAGAGAGATTGACTTATGGGTGATCCATCTTGGTGGGAAGGACCCTGGTGAGATGGAGCCTGAAGATGGAATCATTCTTGGCGTGGGGTCTGCAGAAGGCGGGGATGGGGATCCCTGCTCAGACAGGTAGGGCAGGGGCGGCTGGGGGCAGGTGCGGATTCTGTTTCTTCTGGAAGCAAGGAGTGAGCACCACTGAAGAACAGGTGGGGAGATATGTGGAGTCTGGGGCCAGAGGAGATTTGAAGGAACTTTGAAGCAAGGAGGTGGACTAGAAATAGGGTTGACCAGTTGCTCAACAAGGGTAGGGAGCGGGCAGAGCCGCCTAGGGAGTTCACCATACTTTGTGGCTCCAAGTCCCACTTCCTTGGCAGTGTCTCCTGAGTCTTCCCCTCCTGCCCAGCCCCAGAGCTGTGGAGCCAGGTGCCTACTGCAGGTCCCCAGGGACCACATACTCTTCCCCTATTCCTGCTCCTCCCTGGTGCTTCCTGCACTTCCACTTCCCATATCTGAGCCATCACCAAGGTTTCTTCCTGCCCTTCACCTTTCTCCTCCCTCGGGCCTAAGGGTTCTCTGAACAGCAACATAGTCAACACCTGTCCCTTCCCTAAGCACCTCTGGGATGCTTCTTAAGTGCTAGCCCTGCTCCTCACTCACAGAACTCCTCAATTAGCATTCAGGGAGGAAGGCTGCAGGGCATCCCTGAGGAGGCAGGGCTGAATCAGGTGATTCCTACAACACCCCCTCCTAGCAGGCTGCTGGCCCCAGGATACAGAGAAACCCACTACAGCCCAGAGGGGCAGCCAGTGGTGCTGGTCCCCGGCCACACGGTGAGATACTTCCATGGGTTCTGAGGACAGGGTGAGGGCGGTGGGGGATGTACTCCCTAAGGACCTCCCCACCATTCGTCCCCCATTCTCCTCCTGCTCCTAAGGAGAGGCAGGAGCCACCCCACCACCATGCCCTCTCTCTTGCCCCTCCCACCTCAGCCTTGGCTGAGATATGGGGCTGTGTCCCTTCCTCTCCAGGATCACTGTCACTACCGTGGGCGTGTGAGAGGCTTCCCAGACTCCTGGGTCACCCTTAGCACCTGCTTTGGGATGAGGTGAGGAGTTCTAGGGGAGGAGGCTGGGCCTGGGGCTGGGGTAAGAGTTTCCTCACACCCTCTTTTGCACCTTTCTGCACCTTAGGGGTCTGATCATGCTCAATAGCAATGCCAGTTATTATGTGCATCCCTGGCCATCTGGGGACGCCGAGAATGTCTCAACCCACAAGATCTTCCGGACAGAGCAGCTGCTCAGCTGGAAAGGAGCCTGTGGCCACAGCGACTCTGGAGACAAAGGAGACATGGCCAGCTTTTCTCATGCCACCCGGATCAGGGTCAGGGGCACAGATAGGCATGGGAGTGGGAATGCAGTATTCATAGCCCACCAAATCAGAAGCGACAGCAATGCTCAGCATGGGTTCAGGGCCTCCTGTCCTTATATTTTTATTTAGAAGCTGGAGAAAAATTGTAGCAGAAATTGAAAGTTAACTTTGAGCTTTCTGGGGCTTGGGGTTAGTGGCCAGGGCTCAAGCCTAGCAACCTGCCACTCAGGGCCACTGTCGCCTCTCCCCAGGAGAGGAGGGAGGCCCGCAGGAGCCCGTGGTACCTGGAGCTGTACATAGTGGCTGACCACACCCTGGTGAGAGGAGACCCCGGGGGGTTGGCAGCCAGTATGGAGGCAGCTCAGCCTCTCACACCGTCATATTGTGCCTTTCCAGTTCTTGACCCAGCGCCAGAACTTGAACCACACCAAACAGCGTCTACTGGAAGTTGCCAGCTACGTGGACCAGGTTGGGGGTGGTAGGGAGATAGCTCTAATGGGGGCGACCAAGACAAGGGCCAGATCCTAAAGGGATGTGGCAGGCTTGGAGATGAGGAGAGGGAAGGAGGAGAGAACAGAGAGGCACCCCCACAGAGCAGCATGGGCCCAGTGGTGTGGCTGGTCCCCCTCTTCACAACTGTCCCTCCCTGACCGCAGATTCTCAGGACTCTGGACATTCAGGTGGCGCTGACTGGCCTGGAAGTGTGGACCAAGAAGGATCAGAGCCCTGTCACACCCGACGCGAACGCCACACTCTGGGCCTTCCTGCAGTGGCACCAGAGACTGTGGGCGCCGCTGCCACACGACTCAGCACAGCTGCTCACGTGGGTGCCCCACCCCCATCCCCACACAGGTCCCCGCGGGGCAGTGGCAACTCCTGGCCCTATATGATCACGCTGCTCTCTGCCCTCAGGGGCCGTGCCTTTCAGGGCAACACTGTGGGCCTAGCGCCCATTGAGGGTATGTGCCATGCAGAGAGCTCTGGAGGCGTGAGCACGGTGAGCTCCCCTGGGGATGGAACCGAAAGAGGGGTGTGGGGACTGGTTCCCGCAGCCTGCAATGACCGTCTCGGCGTCCTCCCAGGACCACTCGGAGCTCCCCATTGGCGCTGCAGCGACCATGGCCCACGAGATAGGCCACAGCCTCGGCCTCAGCCACGACCCCGATGGCTGCTGCATGGAAGCGTCAGCCGAGCAGGGCGGCTGCGTCATGGCAGCAGCCACTGGGTACGGATGTCCCGGTAGGGGTAGGGGCTGCAGGGCAGGCTTCGCTAGATCTGGGTCCCTTCCTCGGCTGTATTCTTTTGGGCGAATGGTTATCCCTCAGTTTCCTCTTCTGTAAAATGGGTAGATGATGATAGTACCTGCCCTGAGAGTTGTTTTTGAGGCTTAAATGGAGGCAATGCAGGGAAAGCGGATTCTTAAGAGTATGAAGATTATTTTCGGAACAGCCCAGCGGTTACTGCATCCCCGGGTTACTGCATACTGAATCCTCGAAGTTCCGGATTCGAAGTTGAGTCCTGGGCTGCCCCCTTTTAGCGTCACACCCTCCCCGTCTCGGGTTCGCTGTGTGACTTTGCGCGGGTTACTTACCCACTCTGGGCTCTGCCTCTAAAGAATTCTAGCCGCCGGTCGCTCAGGCAGTGTCCGCTCATCCCGCTGCTGTGTGGCCAAGAACAGGGGGTCTGGTGGGAAGGTATCAGAGATGAGTAGAGAGTTGAGGGGGTGGTCCCCGCACGCCCCGACGCCCTTCCCGGTCGGTAGGCACCCGTTCCCGCGAGTGTTCAGTGCCTGCAGCCGCCGCCAGCTGCGCGCCTTCTTCCGTAAGGGGGGCGGCGCGTGCCTCTCCAACTCACCGGACTCCCGGCTCCTGGTGGCGCGGACACGCTGCGGGAACGGCTTCGTGGAAGAGGGCGAGGAGTGCGACTGCGGCACCGGCCAGGTCAGGTCCGCGCTCCAGGCTCCCGGAGGCCAAGGCTGGTCTCCGCCCACGCCCTGCCCCAAGTTCCCAGGTGCTGCTCACTGACCGGGTCCCTCCTCGCCTTTCCGGCTCCAGGAGTGCCTGGACCCCTGCTGCTTTGCCCATAACTGCTCGCTGCGTGTCGGGGCCCAGTGTTCCCACGGGGACTGCTGCGCGCGCTGCCTGGTGAGGGCCAGGGAGGCTCGGAGGTGAGGGAGGAGGGGAGCTTGGGAGCTGGCCTTTCGGTCTTGGCTGATTGGCACCTTCCAGTCCCTGCGGGTGCTGGCTCTGCTCTGTGCTTGGGTCCACCTGGCTCTCGCGTTGGGCTCTCCCTCCTCTGAGCCTCACTCTTAGCTTGGATCTCTCACTGTCCATTGTCTCTGTGCCTCGGACACCCTCCCGCCACCCGGGTCACCTGCATAGCTGAAGCCTGCCGGCGCGCCTTGCCGCCGGGCTGCGGGCGACTGTGACCTCCCCGAGTTCTGCACGGGCGCCTCTCCCTACTGCCCTCCAGACATTTACCTACTAGATGGCTCGCCCTGCGCCAGCGGCCGCGGCTACTGCCGGGACGGTGCGTGTCCCACGCTCGAGCTGCAGTGCCAGCAGCTCTGGGGGCCTGGTGAGAAGACTCGCACGCCCTCACACTCCATCCCCATCCTTGGGTCTGAGCAATTTTCTATTGTGGGGAAGATGGGACAGGGGAAATGGGGGGGAGGAGCGTGATTCCCATCCCAGCCCTGCTCATGTTTCCCCAGGCTCTCGCCCTGCCCCAGAAGCCTGCTTCCAGGTAGTGAACTCTGCAGGAGATGCCCATGGGAACTGCGGCCAGGACGACAAGGGTGGCTTTGTGTCTTGTGCTCAGAGGTGGGGAGAGGAGCAAAGGGAGCAGAAGTTGGGGGGTGGGTTGGGGAAAGGGGACGCTTCAAACTGTTTGACCACCCTCCACTTGGTCCCCAGGGATGTGCAGTGTGGGAAGCTGCAGTGCCAGGGCGGGGAGCAGAGCCCACTGGCACCACACATGGTGCCGGTAGACTCTATCTTCCGCCTAGGCAGCCAGGAGGTGACCTGCAGGGTAGCCTTCCTGCTACCCAGTGCCCAGCTCAACCTGCCTAACTTGGGCCTGGTAGAGCCAGGCACCCAGTGTGGACCTAGCATGGTGAGCTCTGCCCACTGGACCCATCCCTGTCACTTGAGTCCCAAAGTGTCACTACCCCTCACTGCCCAGTGAACACCTCTGCCCATAGGTGTGCCAGGACAGGCGCTGCCAGAACACTACCTTCTGGGAGCTGGAACATTGCCTGACCGCCTGCCACGGCCATGGAGTGAGTGGCCCAAAAGGTGGGGAGGGTGACCTTGAGGTCCCTGATCTCATGGGACCCTTCTCCTCTCTTTGTCTCTGCAGGTTTGCAATAGTAACCACAACTGCCACTGCGATCTGGGCTGGGCTCCACCCTCCTGTGACAAGCCAGGGTTTGGTGGTAGCATGGACAGTGGCCCTGTGCAGCCTGAAAGTGCGCCAGTGGGGGGCACATGGGGAGGGGCACATGGTGCACCTGCTCAGGACTCAGCCCCACCCTGTCCTCCTCAGACCAGGATGCCTTCCTGCTGGCAGTGGTCTTTAGCTTCCTGCTGCCTCTGCTCCCTGGGGTTGGCCTGGCCTGGTGCTGCTACCGGCAACCAGGATCCCGGCTCCAGCAATGCCTGTGCAGCTCAAGGAGGGACCTCGTCTGCAGTGGGTAGGCTCTGAGGGCTCAGGTCCCTGCTGCCTGAGCCCATTCCTGGACAAAGTCAAGGGTGAAGCAGCTCCCTGGTGGGAGAAACAGGGGAATGGACAAAAAGAGCTAAACCACAGTAATGGGGAGAGGTAGAGGGCCCTGCAGGGATCCACACAATTGGCTAGAGTGGAGGCCACTGGTGCCTCCAGCTCAAGGCTCCTTTCCACTGCCTCTGCTGCCTCTCTGCACCTGGGGGCAAGGCCCAGTTTTCCACTAGCTAATAATGCAGTTTCTGCTCCTCTGTGCCCTTTGAGGACTCTCTAGCCTCTCTCATGAGCTTTCAGCCTAAATCTCTGCTGTTATCTGCTTTGAGTTCCCAAATGCTGGGCCCAGCACATCATATTACTTCATACCACTGGTCGGCTATGGTGCTGGCTTCCCTTGTGACAAGGGCTCACCCCTAACCCATGACCTGGGAAGAGGGTCCCATAATACCAAGCACAGTTCACTTAGGGCTGCCCCTTCACTGGGTGCTGGGCAAGACAGGCTCCTGATGGCCACATCTGACACAGCCTGGCCTTGTGAGTGCTCCGTGCAAGCTGAGGGAGAGGGCAGGGTTTGGGCTGAAGATGGGGGCAGAGGGCACCCCGACAGGGGTAGGGCACCAACCATGTCCCAAGTGCCAGCTGAGAGGGCCTTGATGCAATGAACAGTGATTTCGGGTCTGTGGGCAGAGGTGCAAGGTGGTCAGAGCTTGGTGTATCAGCATGAGGAGGACTTTGTGGGGGGACGGGGGAGTGACTGCATGCCATTGCCAGGGGGGAGTATTGAGGGCATCAGAGACATGGAAGGAAGTTGCAGGCCCTGGGAGATGGTACATGAGCAGCCAAGTATGGCTTGGAGTCATTGAGGGCAGCAGGACCACCCAATGACAAGGAGCACAGGCAGAGCCTCCATTGGAGAAGAAGTCCACTCTTTTTTGGGACCTGAGTGATGCCAACATCTGGAGGGTGACAGAATGCTGGGGTGGTACCAGAATGTGGGAGAAATGCTAGAGAAAGTGCCTGCAGCCCTGGGAGGGCCTGGGTCTCAACTGGAGCCTGGACCCCAAGGGCTCCTTTTATGAGGGAACAGGAAGGGAGCTAGAGAGTGTGACCTGGAGCAGAAGGATGGAGACAGTCAACACAGAAGGCAGAACCAAACACAAAACGTGGGTTGGGCACGTGCTGACGGCTGTAGGGAAGCAGTCCTGGGATGCCCTGCTCAGTATCACTGTTCTAACCTCCTGGCCTCTTACCTCGCTGTTCAGGCCCAAAGAAGGTCCACGCAGGGAGCACCCCCTGCGCAGTGTTCACCTCATGGAATTGGGCCCAATGACCACTGGAGAGCCCCAGCCCTTGGGTGAGCGAGGCTCGGGGGGAAATGAGGAGGGAAGTAAAGGGATGGACCCTTGGGTCCCCTCCTCTCCACTTAGCATCCAGCCACCTTGAGTCCCCAGTGCCCTACCTGCCCCAGGGACTCCTGCCAACTGTGTTCACAGCTCTAGTTCTCCACCCACTGTTCCCAGACCTTGAGATCTCTGCCAGAGCCCAGCAGCCACCTTGAAAAGCCTGTGCCCCGTGGCCCTGCCTGCACCCCAAGGTAAGTGGGGACCCTGATGGGAGACCCTCCACCTCCCATTGCTCATCTACCCACCCCTGTTGCCTCTCAGCTCACTGTTCCCTACTCTGGGGTTTCTGAGCTTGGGTTATTATGGAAATGAAGTATGACCACATAGAGAATCTGTTGTCACGGAGGCCAGATGCTGGCAGCCTCCGGAATGCTGGAAGGAAAGTTGATGGCTCTTCCTGAGTCATCTGTCCTCATCTGTCCCCCCGCCACATGACTTGCAGCCTGAGGTCCCAGACTTCAGGGGCTGATCCTCCCCCACTTTATTATCAGCAGGGAAGTCAAGATCCTGTTTCTGATGAGAAGGGGATCCTGAGATGAGGACACTTAAAGACAAGTGGCTGCTGACAGCCACTCCAAGCACTTGGAGCCCCAGGAGCTGAGCCAGCGAGTAAGCTGATTTCCTGCACCTTCAGGCAGCTTGCAAGTTTCTTCCCCGAGTTACCTCTGGCCTACTCACTCCAGGACCCCAAAGCATCAGAATTTGCCCAATACTGCCCCAGTTCCTTAGCGTCGGAGATCCTGTTTGGGTACACAGGCCAGGCCAAGAATCCATCTGTTATGTAAAACTCTGTTATGTAAAACTTCTCCTGCCTGAAAAAACAAAGAAAAAGGCTGATAACTCCATCATTATCAGAGTTTATTAAAGGAACGTACATAGCAGGCATGTCTTGGGCAGTGGTAAGACCAAGTAGATATCCTCCATGCCACAAGGCAGGTGCTAAAGGGCTACAGAGGATGGATAGAGGTACTGGGGTGTGACCTGCTCAGGTAGGGGGATAACACCTTGCACACTTGCCCAGGGTAGGCCAAGGGCCTATTCTAGGAACCAGCATGCCTGGGGCATAGGAGAGGGGTCAATCAGATAGTCTTTGAGGGGATTTATGGGAAGCAATCTCTGTTCTGGCCCAGAGGATCTGGCAGCAGTCAGTGGTCACGTCATAGAACAGCCTCTCCTCCACACCAGTAATCCAAGGAGCGAAGGTCACATAGTCACTGACCTCCTGTCATCAGGGGAGGCTGGGTCACACTGGGCACTTGGGAGAGGCCTCTGTCCAGGGAGCCTGGGGGTATGTGCTACATGCACTTCACCTAGGCATAGCTCTGCTTTGGGCGGTGACTGCCGGGCCAGAGCCTAGACTCAGGAGTCCTGCATTTCAGACTGAGGTCACTTCCTTGGAGCCTGGCCCCTGCAAAACAAACAACAAAATCCTTGGGATCTTCCTTCCTCTCTCTTCCTGCCTTGTCTTGTCCCTTAGATGCTTCCTCAGTCCCATCCCATTCCTAGTCCTGCACCTGAGGTTTTGGAGGAATGTGGGATATGCTGCAGCTGCCTCACTTGGGACCTTACTGAGCCTCTCCTCCATTCCCTGGGAGGGGACACAAGGAGCCACTTTAGAAAGGGCATCAAAGAAATCAGAAGAAAGACATGTTGCCTTTGGGCCTCCGTTAGTCTTTTCTGTCTGTAAATTCAACCCCATGGGCTCCCTGAGGGGTGATGGCTGGCGGTGGAGCCTCAGACTGTAGCCAGGGCCCCAGATGGACCTATGCATAGGATGGTGTTGCCTTACTTGAATGATCCCTTTGTCTCACCTCTCCTGCTTCCCTTGGACATTCTCAGAAGTCACTTACTCTCTCCCTTTGCTTCACGCACGAGTTGCTGAGTGACCTTCTGTGTCAGTCAGCAGTTGCTGTGTAACAAAACTCCCCAAAAACTTAGTAGGTTAAAACAACTACCAATTCTATGAATTGGCAAATTATGTTGAACACAGCTAGTGGTTCGATTGGTTTCAGCTCAGCTCACTTGTATGTTTGTTGTCAAATGCTGGTCAGCTAGACAGTTCTGCTTCTTGGGTTGGCTGGCTGTTGGCTGGGGTGATGGGGATTTTCCAGCAGGTTAGCCCAGGCTTGTTTACATGACAGCTGGGGAGGGTTCTAAGAGAGCCGGACCAGGATTAGGATGAGGTAAGTGTACCCACTTACCTTTGGCACAAAAAAAGTAATCAAGATAAGTAATATTTTAATTCAATATTTTTACAATATCAAAAGTATTGCAAAAAAATCCATGATTAACAAAATATCAAAATTTTAAGTAAAGGGCCGGCCGAGTGGTGCGCTAGTTAAGAGCTGGCTTGGGACGCCAGCTGTGAGCAGCAGGCCCTGGTTCGGATCCCACATATGAGGGCCAGTGACGCTGCCCTCTACAGCTAAGATGGTGAACAACAGCTTGACCTGGAGCTGGGCTGCCATAAGTCACCGGCGACGGCGCCAGGCTGCAGCCCCTGCTTCAGTGGGCGTAGGCTGCAGCCCCTGCTTCAGTGGGCTGCCATAAGCTACCGTGAGTGGCCAGCAGCCAGCGAGAGCGGCTGGCAGCTGGTGTGAGCTGCCAAGAGCCACTGTGAG